GAGAGAGAGAGAGAGAGAGAGAGAGAGAGACTGCTATTGACGATCAGACGACGATACATTGCTGTGTTCAAGAGCGATCGAAGCACAATCGCCACGTCGAATGACGTGTTGCAAACCATTAATTGCCTTTTGATGCACTACCTGCATTAAGCTAGTCAGACAAACAGACAGACTGGCCACCGGCAATGCCGATGGATTTCCCTTTATTTGTAACTGCTAACTGCCAGCTGGCGCACATGGAGCTTACGTCGGTGGACAGACATCAGAGAAGAGAAAGAGTACGGCGGAGAACAGGTCGCCGATTTCGTCACTCTGCTGATGATGATGTTCGATGCACTCGTCAGTTGTTCACTTGCCGCCTGTTTCCTCTTTCTCTCTACTCCTTTCAGACGGAATCTTCCCCTGAGTGTATTGACAACTTTCATTTCACTGTATCTCTTTTGATTTCAGGCTGAGCATTAGAATGTATGCAAATCAAAGGTGGGGTGATGTGCCTTTCCATTCTGATTTTTCTTCTTCCTTCAGAGTACAATCACCGCCCGGTGGTAGTGAGGATGATAATGACGATCGTGGAGCTGTGTTGATGATGAGTAATTTGTTGAGGGGACGCAAATTCTACAGCACTGATGACGACAACAGAGCTTGTTTTTGGTGCACTAAACTTGATGTGCTTCTGTCATCGTCTAAAGAAGCAACCGACAGCAGCAGCAGCAGTTGCCCTTGGGCGCCCTGTTGATGAACGTAAAGTGGGAAGTGTGAGTGTGTGTGCGGCACATCAGAGCAAATCAAATGAAAGTCAGAGTCTCAAGTCCTGTGGCAGTTACCAGTGGCAGCTAACCTTGTCTAATGTGCTCCCCTTCACTGCTGAAACGGTGCTCCATTGTCTCTGCCTGAACTGCAGTTCCGTCTGTTGCGTGGCTGCACCGTTGCCTGGACGCGCCGACATACGAGTTCGTTCCTTCACAGGAGAACCAATTAAGTGACAATTGTCTGCCTGTCTGTACTTTTGTTTCACTCTGTCTCTGTTTCTGTGAATATGTCTTGGTTTGTGTGCTTGTGTGTGTGTGTGTGTGTGTCTGAGCATTGAGCATTTGGAGAGGATGTAAGGCGCACTCAGCTGCACCCTAGAAAACTCTCTCGCCTTTCCAAGTGCGTGCTCGCCGAGATTCTACGCGGCAATCCCACCATTTTGTGTCTCTGTGTCCCGTGTGTTCCTCTAGGGAGCCTCTTCGTGTGTTCGAGCCTTGGCACGGCAGCCAGCAGTCCAGCGCGGCATCCATCAGCATCCACACCAGAGCAGGCCACCAACGAACCACCAGCAATTCACTTTACTGCAGATTGAATTGCCACGGAATCAAATTCTGCTCCCAGCGCTGCAGCACACAGCTACGCAGCCATGCACTTACGGTGGTTTGCATTCTCACTAAGGAATAGTGCAAACAGTCAGTGCCTGTGACTGTGGTGACGGCAGAGAAAGTAAGAAAGAACCAGCAAGGAAGAAGGCAAAAGTGATAGAGACAGTCGTGCACCGAACACCATTCACCATTCTCCTGTCGGGCATTTTGTTTGTCTGACTGTCTGACTGCCTCAAGTCTCCCTCTTTTTCTTTTCTTTGATTTGCCATTTAATGGCGCACTCGGTGATATAATATAACTGTGACCACCATTGTTTGCACTGTTCACAGTGGAACTTTACTGTTGATGCAGAGGCTGCCTCTCTGATTTCTTCTCTGGAAAGGGATGTGCAGCGGAATGTACTTCATCAGTGCGAATGCATTCATTTGCAGCCACCCGTCCGTCCGTCACCACTTTAGTGTGCACCAGCATCTGATTGACTTTTTGTTTGTCGAAGTTTGCCTGGTTGACTGACGTGTGAGTGTGTCGGTTGGCAGGCGCCCATCGTTCTCTGCCCGTCTCCGTCCGCCACCATCGTCGTCGTGGAGGTATCTTTCGTTCTCCATCGCAACAAGCCATCAACGAATCGTCGTCGTCGTCCTCGACTACCGATGGCAAAATTGGCCATCGGAAGAAGGGCAGTCGACCACCAGCACTACTGTACTCGGCCATGTACTGCATCAGTTTCGGTGTGTGAGTGTTGACAAAGCAAAGTAAAAATAAAAATTAGTTTACCAAGCTCAACTTGAACCTCTCTGACGCAAGTCAATACCGCTCCTTCTCTCTCACTCTCTTTTCAGCTAACTAGCCTTCCTTTGCACTTGATTTTACTTCAATGTTTGATTTGTTCACAGTCCGTCAGTCTGTTAGATAGACAAGCAGACAGACAGACAGCTGCCTCTCATGGTAACTGATAGGTCTCGATGGAGTGCAGATAATGCTGGCGTGAAGCTCACTCCTTCACTCTCACTGCTGGCCTAATTACACACTTTTCTTCCTTTTCAATGCTCTACGTGAGTGTGTGCGTTTTCAGCATCCATCCTCTCTTTTTGCTAATTTCAAAACACTTTTTCACATTTGCATATATTAACGATCTCCTATTTCCTTTCGCTCTCCATTTCTCCCGTCCACTTGACAGTTCTACCCTTCTGCCTGATCGCTCGACAGTTTGGAAAATCACTTTTTTTCAGTCATCTTTAACACCGTTTTCAACTCCGTGAAACTCTCACTGACCTTAAACTAATTTGCCAATCATTTAATCAACAGCCAATTTGGCGGCGTTTGCCAACACCACACCAGGCATTTTTAGGCTGCATTAGCCTCGCTGGATGAGCCAATGATTTCCACTAAAACCCTTTTAACTGAAAACTAGAAAAAGGGGAATTTACGGCTCTGGTTTAATTGGGCAGAAGTATATCAGCAAATGTCAACAGTGTCGCCATCGCCACTGGAAGCAGAGCACAACCAAGTCATTACTCACTGTGAATAGCATCAGCATCAGTCACTGCTGTCGTTGTCGCTGTAGCCAGGTGCCCCAACTACACTCACAGCCTTGCACAATCTCATTGTGCATGCCGATCGTGCATTTCGACGATGGCCAAGAATTTAAGCATCAGATTTTCCGCTGCATCTTCGGCCGCTGCCATTAGCAGCAGCAGCAGTGGCAGTGGCAACACTCCCTCCGCGCCTTCAGTGCCTCCTTTCGATGAGCTTCCAGCCGATGGAGGTGGCAGTACTGCCTCTGTTGTCACTACAAACACCGTTATTGCTGCTGCTGTCGCCGTCGCACCAACAACAACAGCACCATTAGCATCAGCATCAGCATCACCGACGGCAGTAGCATCGTCTGGCAGTGAGTCGTCGTCTTCCTCTTCTCCGGTGACAGTGCACTCTGCATCAGCCGCCTCCGCTGACATCGATATTATTCAGCTGTCAGCCGAAGTGAAGAAGGGCAGTGGTGGTGGTGCTGCTGCTGCTGTGAGCAGTGCCCAGACATGGCCGACACTGTCTTGTGATAGCACTGCTCCTACTGGTGATAGAGCTCGCCCGAATGGGCACGATTACGTTACCGTAGCGAACAGCAGATCGGCACCGTCGGCTAGCAGCGAAGGAAGCAGCACAGCGACGACGACGACCCTGTCCAGCAGCATGAGCCGAAGCAGTAGTACAACTGCTGCTGCCACCACCACCAAAGAGTCACCTGATAAGGATGAGACCATTTCGCCGGTGAACACACCTCAGCAGCAGCCGTCTGTAATAGCGAACAGTAGCGGCAAGAATAGCAGTAATTCCAATCGGAGCAGCAGCAGCAACAAGAGTTCACCCACGGTGGGCTCGAAGGTAGACCGCTTTGTACGCCAGCTACAGGAGAGCTTCACCTCCTCCTCGAGCAGCAGCAAAGCCGAGCCGCCGACTGCCACCATGAGCTGGTGCAAGTTTGCCAAGGGGGCAGAAGGAGTTGGCGGCAGTGGCGCTGCTCTGGAGATTATCAGTCAGTCGGCGGCAGAATCGGATGATTCACTGCTGTCTCGAGAACGTGTCTCCATCACCCTTACACCTGCTGCCGCCACCGCTGCTCCCTCCCCGCCTAATCACACTGCGAGCACTATGACAACAAGCAGCACTAGCAGCAGCAAGTCTCCCTCTGCGGCCAGTGCCGCCTACAACAGCTGGCTTGCTGATATGAAAACCTTCAAGGAGAAGTGGTCCAAGACAGAGAAAGCGGAGAAGAACAGCAAGTCAGGTGGTGATGAATTCCCGAGTACGCTGTCATCGTCTCGAAGCAGCAGTACACTAGTGACGACATCGTCCACCGCAACTACCTCTTCTACCACCCCCTCATCCTCCTCCTCCTCCTCCTCGGTAACCGTATCAAATGCCTATCTTAATAACAACTACACTTTGGTGAACAACAACAGCAGCCATGTCTGCACCGGCTCTACCTGTAGCGCATGTAGTGCAGCACGTCGTACAGTCAGCCAGAGCACTGTACAAGCGCCATCCACCTTGCCGGTGCAGTCATTTACTGGTAGCAGTGTTTATTGCGCCACTTGTCTCACCACTACCAACAGCGATCACCAACACCAGCACCACCAACATCACCACCACCAGCACCAGCACCAGCACCACCACCATCACCATCATCATCAGCAGCAGAGCAACAGCAAAAGCAACGCCATCAACTCGAACGCCACGCCGCAACGGACGCCCACACCGCCGCTACTGCTGTCGCCTAATGAGGTCGTCTTTGACCCCAACTTTGACCCGTACCTGGTGGGAGAGACGAGTAGAGACAATAACAATATGATATTCTCCTTTGGCCGCAGCAGCTCCTCTTCGGAGAAGAAGGAGAAGAAGGATAAGGATAAGGAGGGCAAGTCGGGCAGGGCAAAGCTCTTCACTGGCTCCAGTAGTTCGCAGTCTAAGGAGAAGGACGCCGCGGCAGCTGCCGCCGCCGCCAAGAAAAAGTCTAAAGAGAAGGAGAGGGATAAAGAGAAAGATAAGGATAAGGACACGTCGAATAGCTTCTTCAAGATCAACACTTCACGCTCCTCATCAGTGTCGTCGCCCACATCAGCCAACATCTCCTCATCTAATCTGACAACTTCATTTCTACTTGGTTTTAGCAAGAACAGCTCGTCACCTTCTCACTCCCGCTACTCCTCTCAGGAGAACATATCAATAAACAGTGACAACTTAAACTGGTCGAAAAACAGCAACAACAACAACAACAACATTCCAAAGAGCTCTAACAGCAGCAGCGCCTCGTCAAAACAGCTTTCCTCCAGCAGATCAATGATCTCCTTTCGAAAATTGACGAAAAACGGCGAAAACGAAAGTGAGGTCACGTTTGAGGACTTAGACCTGTCCACCACGTACAACCAGGACACGCGGAACTCATTTGGGCCACAGCCTTCGAACCCGACACTTCGCCGCAAGGCCGACTCCTTTCGGCGCAATGACTCGCCCACCACTACCACTACCACCACTACCACCGAATCAGGTGGTCACTTTAGCCTCCTCGACGGTGACACCATGTCGATGGCCTCCTCAAAGTCCTCCAACTCAAACTCTTCCGCGTCAGCACTGTTCCACCGCAGCCACTCCATTTCCACGGCAGACCTGAGCAGTCTGGGTACGCCCTCTGAGCTGCAGCCAGCACGCTCTCCGACGGCCAGGCAGCGCATCTCTCAACTTTCTCACGCCGTGCTGCCCTCATCCTGGGCGACCTGCATTGCCTACGCCTACTACATCTTTGCCCTGGTGGTCGCCCTGCTGTCGCTGCTCATCTCGCTCATCTCCCCCCTTCCTGCCTTCTTCAACGGCCTCGTCCTCGGCTTTGTGTGCACCTTTCTCCTCGTCACCGTCGTCATCATTTACATTGTCTCCCACTACGTGCTGGTCAAGTCACCGGACAGTGACGAGGAGAAGCCGTCAGGGCTGTTGCGCAGTCAGCTGTCAGGCGAGTCGATATCTCTGAAGCGAAGTCTGAACAGGCCAAAGCTGTCGACGAACAGTCTGATCACCACGGCGAGCGGCACCGCCGTTGAGCCCGACCTGTACTCTGGTTGGGTGTACGAGTTTATCGGCGAGTACGAGGAGCGGGAGAAGAATGGCTTCCTCTCGCAGCTAGTCCACGTTGTGCTGCGCGGTACTCGGCTCACCATCTACACGCCTGCAACTGAGTTGAATGAGAAGAAGTTGAAGGCACTCTTGGCGGCGGAAAACAGTAGTGGCGGTGGCAGTGGGAGCAGTAGTAGCGGCAGTGGCAGCAGCAGCAGCAAGGCCCAGCCAGGCGTCACCTTTGCCAGCCAGCGAGTCATCGAGTTCAGTCGGCAGAGTCGTAAGCCACGTGTCAGTTTGCTGCTGACGAAGAATGTGCGCAATCAGCGAAAGTACGTCTGGAGCAAGAAGTACCCCGTCTGTTTGGAGTTTGTCGATGATCGGGCCACCAGTGGCGGCGGCTACATTGTCGTGGGAAAGAGCAACGACGAGGCAGCACCACCACTGCGCGGAGGCTCTTCCTCCTCCTCCAATGAGTCCTCGTCGAGTCTGGTGGACGCGGTGACCATGCCACTGCAGACAACCACCCCATTCTCCACCACCTCCTCCTCCGCCTCTCCGGTGCCGCTGAAGCTGGTCCTTTTTGCGCGAAGCTGTCGCGAGAAGGAAGAGTGGTTTTGGGCTATGAAGATGGCGGTGGACATGGCTTCGAAGGGCGGCAGCACTGACGTCTCGCCAAAGAGCTCCAATCTGAACATTGCAGACTCGACAACGCAGCTGCTGACGACGACCACCACCACGACTATAACCAGCACAACCAGCGAGCAGACGGAGGACTTCAGCAGCGGCAGTGCCCAGCAGTACCTTCGCATTCTCACGCGGCGCCTCAACTACAGCGCCTTCATGCGCGCCAATGTGCTGAGCGGAGAGGGCGGCGGTGGTGGCCTGGGCGCTTCCGGCATGCACCAGAATCCGCTCACCTGGTTCAACGTCCTCCTCAACCGCCTTTCCTTTGACATTCTCAACAAACCCAACTGGAGTGCCTACATTGCAAAGAAGTTGCAGCGAAAGCTGCGCAAGCTCCGTTTGCCCTACTTTATGGAGTCGCTCACCATCACCGAGATTGACATAGGCACGACTCTGCCCAAATTCAACTCAGTGCCCACTCCTCCCGTGGTCGACGATGCCGGCTTGTGGATCGACTTTGATGTCAGCTACTCAGGTATGTCACCTTTTGTGAGCGTTTCTCTTTTCAAATAAAACTCATCTTTTTTTATTTCTAGGCGGCTTCACCATGACGCTGGAAACGAAGCTCAACTTGATGAAGCTGAAGAAAGCCGAATCGACGGCTGCCGTCGAATCGATATCACTGTCGACGTTAAGTGCCGCCGAATCTGGCAGGCACTCCAGCGGAGTGAACACGCCCACCGGTCTGGAATCACCCCTAGTCTCGCCCACTGCAGCTAATCTGCCCAAGCAGATGAAGCACTGGTGCGGCTACAAGTTTCGCACCTCTACGGTCTCCTCGGTGGCCAGCAATGCCAGCAACAGCGGGGCAGCGGCGGGGGCAGGGACTGGAGCAAGCGGCGCCAACGATGAGACCGCCGCCTCGGTGGACAGCGACTCTGACCTGGACTCCATTGGAACGAGCTCAGAGGACGAGGAGCCGGAGACGGCGCCCGCTGACCCTGATGACGCCGACACTGATGAGAAGCAGCGGAAGTTGATTCGCTTCGTCAACAAGATCGCCTCCAGTCAGTACTTTCAGAAGGCGACGCAGATTAACTTCTTCAAGAAGGCCATTGAGGGCGTCTCTAAGATGTCCATCATGCTGACGGTGCAGATCAACTCGCTCAGTGGCATTTTAGGTAAGTCTAGAAGGCTGTTTGCTGTCCAAATATGATCATACTTACCATTTGGTCACTTCCCACCGAACAGCTATCAACATTCCCGAGTCACCCTCTGACCGCCTGTGGTACGGCTTTCGCAATGACCCGACCTTTCAGATCACCGCTCGGCCCAAGGTGGGCGACCATGATCTGAATCTGCACTACGTGACCAACTTTATCGAGAAGAAGCTCCGTGCAGAGTTCTTCAACTATTTTGTCATTCCGCACATGGACGACTTTTATATTCCGGCACTGAATGCCAACATTGAGCAGTACGTCTCAGTGGTGCCCTAGGCGTCTTTTAGAATGTTTTCTCTATTCTTCCCTTCTCTTCATCAAGTTCTACCATTTTTATGAAATGTTTTTCCGTCCACACCTGACTACCACTGCTGTTGACCACTGCTGATGACGTGATGAGAAGCCTTTGCCTTTGACCATTTTTTTATCTGCATGCACATCTGTGAAGCAACTTACCGTTTTTGTCTTTTCATTGTGATCTAATTTTCAATTTCAATTTCTCTTATCATCCTTATTATCACCATCGATTACTTAAGGGTACTGCTCCGCTGGTGCACTCTGATCTTTCAACAACAAAGTATCTGTCGATATTCCTTTTTCTGCTTCTACTCTTTTTTTTTATTGAAATTCTTCCCTTTCCATTGTTCTGCTTTCCCTCCCCCCCCCGGGTCCAACACACAGTTTGCAATTTGTTTGCCTTTTCACTCTCCTTCTCCCTGTCTTTGTTGTTGCCTCTCTTTCTTCACTCTCTTTCCTTCTCAGGCCACCACTACACAGCCGAACCTGTGTGTTCTGTGATAACTCTCCATTTGATTTCAACCTTTCATCGACCCAGTGCAAGCCCGTCCAGCGCCAGCAACCACAGCCTAATGTGAGAGCAACCCAGAGTCAAGTCACTGCTCTACCAATGAATGCTGGGTACTTCAGCAAACAGCAAATGATAATTGAATGCAAACCATTGCTTGATTTAACTTATTGTAACTTGCCACTTGATGCCCTCCTTCTTGATGCCTTCTCTCTCTTTAAACACACACACACACTAATTGCAACTGTTGAGAATAAAGTTTTTATTTATTTTTCGTTACCATCGGTCAAGTACTTTACCATCAACCGCAAATTGGTTTAGAGAGAGAGAGAGAGAGAGAGAGAGAGAGAGAGAGAGAGAGAGAGAGACAAGCGATGCAGCAGTATCTTTGCTGAGTGGCGCGAGTGGCTTTATTGGGCCGCAGCCTTTTCAAACACATTTTCACTAAGGAAAACAACACATTCACAGTCACAAATGGAACAGCGACGGTCTACTCACTAGCAAAGAGACAGAGCTAGTTGTGCCTTCTCCAGGAGGGGAATGCATCACTTAGGCAGATGTATGTGTGGAACGGAAAATTATGTCACGCAGAGTGGACGACGCTTAAGCTTCGGCGGCTTCTTGGCTAATAAGTAACGGTGAAATGACATCAGCAAACATGTACTTCTGTGTATTCGGTTGAGATGGAGGTGGCGGTGAAGGAAAAAGAAGAAGGTGAATGGAAGGCAGGCGAGATGGCCAGCACTTTCACACATGGAAATGGTTACAATTGGAATATGGATAGATAGAGCCAATAAAATAAAAAAATCTGAATAATATAAATAACAAATTGAACATAAACAAGTTAATTACAATAGAGACAGAGAGCTATGAATAGAATACTCGCAGCTGGAGCGATGAGGTTGACCGGAGCGTGGTGCATTTTAAGCGAGGCGCAAGTTTGTGTGCAGCTTTGGTTGCACTTCGCAGACGACTCTGCTCAGGAGGTCTTTGATGACAATGTCTTTCGACGTGACAACCGATTTGTTCATCAACTCTAGCTTGCCCTGGGTTTCACGCTCGATGGAATCTTTGATGGTATCCCTAGTGGTTGGAAAAATAACCGTTATTTCGTGGTGACAACAAACGTGGCATCCTTGGAACTTACATTGAGCCCATGTGCTTAGTCTCGTACTCCCGAAAGTTGCGCTCGCGATCGGCTCGGAAGCGCTCAATCTCACTGGTGGCCTCATCCTTGGCCTGCTTCAATCGGCGGGCCTTCTTCTTGCGGGCCTCTTGGACCTGTGTTTCGGGTGAAATGAGACAATGAGTATCGGCAAATAAACAACAGCAGCACTCTACAACAGAATGTACAACACACCTTTTCAGCTGCCTTCTTCTCGGCGATGAGTAGCTGCTGGATGCCTTGAGTTTGACTAGCCATGGCTTGGAGAAGCTTCTTGGTAAAAGGGGGCGAATGAGTGGGTGAAAGAAGATGGATAGGGCAGAGGACGGGCCGAGAATGGAGAGACACTGACAGTGAGATTGCCAGCAACAACAGCGCTCTGTACTGTACAGCAGCAGCAGCCGACGTCAGTGGGTGAGCAAAACGCCCTCAGAGAATGATAAAAATCGAGCAGCAGCAGCAGCTGGCTGCTATCCGTAGAGGACGAGCATTCGGCGACTGTCCAAGTGGTCATGCGTGCAAGCTGACGGCAATGTTTTGAATCCCAGTCTGCCTGCTGCCAGCTGTCGCCTGGTCACGTCCCGTTTCTCTCTTCGTCTCGCACCTGATCCACCTGTCCCCTTCCAGGCGATCTTTCTCTCTCTCTCTCTCTCTTCCCGTCTTACACAGTCTCTCCAGAAGACGCACCATTACACTTCGACGTTGCCCGGCGGACATCACAACACTGGCACACTGCGACACCAACATCAACGCGGTGAGTCACACACAGTTCGAGGCTGTGTCTCTTCTTTCCTCTTCTTTCTTTAAACTCCATCTCCCAAATTGTTGTTGTCACTTTTCTCCCCTGTACACTCATTTGTTTGCAACTGTGTATGTGCTTTCAACACGCTCAGGTGATGGCAAGATTAATGTGAATGTGTGTGTGTGTGCTTGTGTATGAATTGTGCCTGCTCGAAGGAATTATAAAGTCACGTCAGTGCCGCTGTATGAGCCGAGCTGAGAGTTGTTGTCAAATGCCCCCTCGACACAGGTTGTTCTTCAGCGTCAGGCGCCAGTGTCCATGTCTGTGTCTGCGCGAGGGTAGGGCGGCCGCCGCCGCTGAAGAGTGCCGCTTGTCGTCCCGGTTATTACACATTTTTATGTGCACTCGTCTTTCTCCGCTTGCTGCTGCTGTTGTTGTTGCAGTTGGCAGCCTTCGCTGTTAGCCTCGTCTTCCTGAGCGCCATTAGTGATCGCTCGTGTGGCAGGAAATAAGACTACTCAATTATTAGACAAGCAGACTACTGCGGCAGTAGGACTGCTGCTCCATTCTGACACGAGTGACAAGCACAACTCCACCAGCACCACTACCAGCACCATCATCACAAGCAACATCAGCAGCAGCAGCAGCACACACCGTCAGTGGCATCCGATCACCATTTTCGTGCACTGCCTTGTGTCTTCTCCCTTGGCCAACATTTGCCATTGTGTTTTGTGATTCTATTTTTTCTAGCCTAACAGCGTGCTCAACACTTTTGGGGTAAATCCCTGACACATTACCAAAACACATATTTACTGGTGATCTTCAGCGGCGCAACTCTCCAAGCAAGCAAGTGCTCTTTGCGGTGAGTGCTCTCTGGTCATGCTGAGCAGCAGCAGCAGCGAACTGTGGCCGAACTGTGACTTCTTGTTATACAGTGAGCTTGGTTGTTGGCAAAGTCAGCGCACCGTCCACACTGAAAGTGGTTGTAAATATAGCCCGGGACGCATGATGCTCGGTGCATTTCTCTAATTGCACCGTGCAATTATCATTTTCTTCATTTTCTCGCCATCATCTCCCTAACTTTGCTTCTCTTCCCCCCCCCCTGGATGTGCCAACTACCGTGTGAGTCAGTGTCTGTGTGTGTGTGTTGGTTAGCTCTCCCTTTTTCAGTGCTACTCATCACCATCACTGCACACGCGGGGAGGAAAATCTGCACATACCTCTTTCCTTCTCCTCTGACCGTTTAGCAATGTTAATACCTACAAATGGATACTTGATGCATTAGTAGCACTCTTTGTGTGTGTGTATGTCTTCGTCTTCTGCGGTTGCCCAAGCTCTTTCGGTGCGAGTTCGTATTGCTGTGGCTGCTGACGCTGGACGATACCTGCATGTCTACCTGACTGAATGACTGACTCGGACGCGCGAAACAAAGGCTGCAACGGCAATCTTTACTCCAATTTAGCTGACTCTCGCAGTTATAAACAAGTTCTCGTTTGGTCGCTCGGACTGTTTAGCAGCAACAGCAGCAGCAGCGTCCAGCGGGCGCCAATCACTGGCCAGTGCCAGTGCACAAAGTGACTGCTGTCCCGTTTGATGTGTTCTTATGTGTCCGAGCGTGTGTTCGCCACCAGCAGCTCCTACCACTGCTCGCATGCATCAACTTGACAAGCAGTCTGTGTATAACTGTAGTCTCTCTCTCTCTCTCTCTCTCTCTCTCTCTCTCTCTCTCTCTCTCTTTACGATTACCTCTGTCATAGCAAAGAAAGCATCTGCCGCATTCACTTGCTCTTCTTCTTCATCTTCTTCGTCATCTTCTGCAGCCACATGATGCGAACGGTCCAGCGGTGATGTTCAGTGGCGACTGAGCTTATGTGTATCATCCTCCACTACTCTGAGCTTCTTCTTTTTCCCAGCTAATCGCCGGTGATGCCGTCGCGCACGTTAATCGCAATAATCGGCTCAATTTAATGGCATTAGATAAAAAGAGAGGTTGTTGCTTCTGCTGCCGCGCTTGACCACACACCACCTCAGCTAATAAGAGCAGCATCAGCCTTGTTCACCTTGTCACAACTTCAGCTACCTTGTTGTGTCCACACCCTCACTGTTCACGGGTGTTCCAGTGACCGACAGCTCGATCCAACGCCCACCTGATGCACATTTGCGTGTATTTGTGTAGTTGTACGTTGCACAGTGCACAGTTTCCCTCGAGTGAACTACTTTGGCTGCTCAGCTCTGCCGACATTGACAGTTGCGGTCGTGGTCACATACTGCCACTGCCGCACTATATTTGGCACTTGTCCAATTTATATGGAAAATGTCATAATTTACCGTCAGTTCGATCAGTCGGCTACTGCCTACCATTTGTCTGTTATTTGCATGCAAATCAATTACTGCCTTCTTCTTCTTCCACCTGTCTTGTTTCGTCCACTGCTGTTACTTCGGTTTCGTCTGTTGCTGCCATTTCCACTTACTGCCCTTATTGGTCCATGTCTTTTCCCCTCCTTCTGTCTCGCTCTTTCCTTTTTTACTTAAATGTTTTTTTCTGTTGTTGTCCTGCCGTTGAAGGCAATCTATTTCCAATCGACACAGTCGCCTGGCTGCTCCCACTCGCGCCCAATAGGTCCACTATCTCTCATCGTGTGTGTGTGTTTATTCAACTACTAACTAACCACTGCATTGTTTTTATCTTCTCCCCTTTTCTGTTTCTCCTTCTTCTAGAGAGATAAGCAGAAGGTGACCAGCGATCAAGTCGGCGACAGCAGCAGCAGCTGTATTGACTGTCTGACTAAAGTGCGCTTTCTTCGTCTTTGTCCGCCACCACCACTTCCACCACCACTTGTCGCTATTGCTTGGATATATTGGCCAATTCTAAGTGAGTCAGTCAGCCTGTGTGAACTTGCACCCGGCAACTGTGTGCCTGTGCCTGCGTCTGCCTAATCAGGCTTATCAGCACTCGTCTCATTAGTTGCAGCAATAGTTGCAGCAACCGCAGCATCATTTCATCTACTGTGCATTGCCGTATCCTTAGACGCGCATGGCGTCGGTTTATTTGTGACACTTCTACTGCGCCGCAAGAGAAACAGTGCTCGGCAAAACGGTTCTCATCTCTTTTCATCTCTTTCCCTCAACGCTGATTTGCAAATAGCTGCCTTTATTGTTGTTATTGCTGGTGCTGCTGGTGCTAGTACTCAACCTCTTACCTCTTGCTATGATTGACATCTGTTCACAGTCAGCATCCTCAGCATCCTCGTTCTCGTCTAACTAGCACCATCACTTTTGGCAACACCATGGAGAAGTACCTACTTTTGTGTCGCTCCAACTTGGTATGTATCAGAGTTAGAGAGACTTGTGATCAGCAAGTCTGACAAGTCCCGCAAGTCCTTCTCGCTAATCGTCACTGACACCTAATAATCTGTCCGAGCAGAGCAACCTCAGTCAATTCAAGACGGTGTCCATTGTGATCGGCAATGAGAGCTGTGATCTTGATTCGGCCGTCTCGGCAATCGTGCTCGCCTATGTGAAGTACCACGAAGCGCAGCATCAGCAGGCGGAAAATGATGAAGTAAGGACTGCGCCGCTTAATGGCCACACTTATGACACTTTAATGATCTTTCTCCCTTTCTCGCTCTCCCCCCTCTCCCTCTCTTCCATTTGCAGGCTGTTATCGTCTTGCCCGTGCTGAATGTACCTCGCCAGGATTTACATTTACGACGTGAAGTTGTCTTTTGGTTTGAGCAAGTGCTGCACTACGATCTGAAGGTGCTCATCTGCCGCGATGAGATCGATTACGACCAATTGAATGCTTCATCAGGTAAGTTTTCCCGCTGTCTCTTTCTATTCGCACTATTCATTAGTCATTCCTTCTCTGCTCATATTTCCGTACTCATATATTTTCTATTCTCCAGCGGACATCGTATTTTCACTTGTTGATCACAATGAGAACAAAGAGCAGGCTCGCCTGCTGCCGCGGGGACACTTCGAGGAGATCATCGACCACCACCAGCCAACATTTGCCGACGGCGCCTGTCAGGTGGCGGATCAAAGTCGTGTGCTCATTGACACCACCGTTGGCTCGTGCTGCTCACTGGTGGCCTTGCGCTTTCTCGACTGTCCTCTCGTCTCCAAGTTTGCCCACCAAGAGGTGAACACCGACGAGGGAATCGCCTTACTCCTCTACGGTCCCATTTTGCTAGGTGCGTTTTTTGTAGTATACAAAATTAGAATCTGTTTTTCGTTACGTTTATTGCTTTTTTATACCTGCAGACACCAACTGCTTTAATCACGCCATGAAACGCTTTAATGCAAAGGATTACGAAGCGGTGAACAAGCTGGAGGTTCTACTGAAGTATACCCCCGATGCGGAGACGTCGCTCTTTGACCGCAACGAGGTCTATCAGCGACTGGTAGAGGCGAAGAACTCGCTGGACGGACTGAGCTTTGAGGAGCTGCTGCGCAAAGACATGAAGATGGTCGAGTCACTTACCGATAACAATCTCGCCATTTGCATTCCCGGCAT